TATCATTCCTTGCTGCCTTTTTGTGGCTTTGACTTTTGCAGGAAGGAGCCGATGTAGCGGCCAATCCTGAGGATCTCCTCTGTGCTTCCTCCATCACCACTGCTTTGGCAGAGCTCACGCTGCTCTTGGGCATCTTGACACTGGGGAGCGGGACCCTGGTGCTTGCAGGTCTTGGTGCCCAGAGAGCCTCCAGAGGATATATAATATATATTTATTATTATATAAATATAGTATATATTTATATATAACATACACGTATTAGAATGTAACACATATAATATTATTTTAATACATATAAATATAGGTAGTTGTAATTTTGAGTTGTGTTTCCCATCTTTCTCCCACTCTATCTAGGACCAGAAGCCCTGTAGCTGTAATTAGCATACAGACTGATAAAGGATCACATAAGGATACCACCTTGACATACACTGTTCCTGGTTTTAAACTAAGTACTATCCCCCTGTTCTGTTAGAACTACTGCCTCTTGGTCTATGGATAGGTTCTGTAGGAGCATAATTGTTCTGAAATTAATATTCTTTGCAATATTATTCCTAATTTGTTATGATCCATGGATGAATGCCTTTTCAGTCAATAAAGCACAGGACACACACACACACACACACACACACACAGACATCTTTCTGTTAATCTCTGCTTTCAGGCAAAGTCTATCGAAACATCAGCAATGATATCCCTCGTTCCATGCCCTCATCTGAGTCCGCCTTGAATTTCTGGCAGTTCCCTGTCAATGTGCTGCTGCAATTGTTTTTGTATTATCGCTTGGCAGCAACATTTTTCTTGCTTGATATGTGCAGTAATTTCCACATTCTGTTACATCATCTTTCTTTGGAATGGGCACAAATATGGGTCTCTTCTAGTCAGTTAGCTAGACAGCTGTCTTTCAAATTTCTTGCCATAGAGGAGTGAGCACTTCCAAGATTGCATGTATTTGCTGGAACATTTCAATTGGGATTCCATCTGTTCCTGGAGCCCTGTTTTTGCGAATGCCATCAGTGCAGCTTGGACTTCTTCCACCATTACCAGTAGTTCATGGTCACTGCTACCTTCCTGAAGTGGTTCAAGGTCAATTACTTGTTTTCGGTTCAATGACTCTGTATTCCTTCCAATAATAATAATAAAAAGGCTCCTGCATGGTTCAATATTTCCCATGGAACCCTTTGGGGTTGTCATTTGAGACTTGGATTTTTTCTTTCATCCTGAGAAATGTGGATGCTGAGCATGTTATTTCCTTTTGGTTTTTTGTGTGTGTGTGTTTTGGTGCCAAAACCCAGGAACCATTTTGGTTTTCTAATGGAAGGTCTTTGCACACTTACTATAAGACTTTGTCTTTTCCAGCCACCCTTAAAAATATGCTCCTCTGCTCCTTTGCCTCATTTCTTCTACAGCCTGTCTGTGAGATAGGATGTCATGTGATTGGTACATTATGAGAACACCACACTATTATGGACAGGTAGCCTCTCTATAACCCATAGTTCCACCTTTGTAAAGTCTTACGGGAGCCCATCCAATAACCCCTGAGAACCCTATCAACTGGGTACAAGAGGCTGACTTCCCTGGGGCTGTGGCTTATCTGGGTGGAGGCTGCATTCATTCACAGCTGGATTGGGGCTTTGCACACATCTGGGCACAGGGCTGGGGAGGACTGAGGGGTGGCTATGGTAGTCAGGTGTGTGGGTGCCTGGACTGTGGCTGGTGATCATGGCCTTGGATGCTGCTGCCCTATTTGAGCTGCCACTTCTTGATCATGTGCAAACCACTGGGTGCAGGGACCCTGTGCACCTGGCTGGTGCTGCCAGTGCTGGTGGCCAGAGCAGAGATCCCAGTGACTCTGCCTTGCACTGGGGGTGAAGATACCACAGTTTTGGTGGCTCCGCAGGTCTCTGTCTCACCAGTGAGTCCGATCTTTTCTACAATTTTGAATTTTGTTCCGTAATTTCCCCCCAATCTACCTAAGACCGGATAGTGTGATCCTTTCCACAGCCGTTGGTCAGGATAGGCAGGCACCATTTAGTTCTTCTAGTCTCAGGGTTCTGAAGACTGATGTTTCTGCATTGTTCATTGGCCCACTGGTCTAATGGCTTCCATGGGTCTTCAGTTTTCATCATTCTTATTTCTTTGAGACAGAGACCACATGTGGCATTTTAAGATGGCCACTCACGAACTTTTAAGATGCCAGTAGCAACTCTGCCAAACGAGATGTTGAACATGGTCCTTGTCAGCGAACCTTGGTGTGCCCTAAGCTCATGGATTTGAAAGGCTGTATTATCGGTAAAACCCTATTCCACTGTCATCTAGTTGATTCAGCTTCATAGTGTCCCTGTATAGGATTTGTAGGTTTTATGGGAGTACATAGCCTTGTCATTTCCCTGTGGAGCAGCTGGCTCAATTTTATCATCTCTACAGGTGATTCCTTGCCCTGCTCTCTCTCTCTCTCAAAAAACAAATAAAATCTGACCTACCTACTGTCTCCCAAACTGGAAAATTCCAATAAACTTTAAAAAGAGACCCATTATCTGACAAATTCTCTCACCCTTCACTGTTGCCACCCTGGTCTCGGCCACCTTCAATTAAAAAAACATGTTCCAAAAAAGTATTATGGTAAAATACAGGTGACATTTAGCACATGTGCCATATAGTACATTAACAGTGTTGAACAACCACCATGACTGTCTACTTCCAGAAGGTACTATCACCTCCGATGGCAACTCCGCACCCATTCCGTAGCTCCCATGGCCCTTCCCACCCAAGCCCTTGGAAACGTCTGTTTCCTTTCCCTCTCTCTGGATCACATCAACCGCCTAATGGGATCTATCTGAGGCTCCCAATTGCCTCCTTACTCCCTTTATTTTCACTCTACCAGGTCCCTAGATGCTCTGGTGGAGCTGTTGGGTTAACTGCTGGACTGTGAGCTGCGAGGTTCAAACTTACTAGCTGCTTTGAGGGAGAACGGTGAGGCTATCTGCTACCACAAAGATTTAAAGCCTTGGAAACCCTGTACAGGGTTATGAGACAGAACTGACTCAATGTCGGTTCTGTGGGCCCGCCTCCATCCAAACACAAGGCTCATGAGTGAATCGGATCACGTCACTAATTTGCCAGAAACCTCCAATGACTTAGCTCACGCAGCGTGAAAGCCAGAGTCCCTTCCGTGCTCTTTTGGATCCCAGGCGGCCTCTCCTTCCCCACCTGTCACTCTGCATCAGCCACACCAACCTCCTCATGACCAGCATGCCCCCTCCTCAACCCCCATCAGCATGCCCAATAGACGCCTTTCTATGGGCTGCAACGGCGACACCATCTTCCTGGAATGCCCACTTCAATGCCACTTTTCAAGTTAACAGCCTATTGAAAATGGAGATTCTTTGGTTGTTGCTGAGACCTTGCTGGATTCATTGGAATTGTACCATTAAAACATTTCGACTTAAATTATTTGACCATTTCAGCCTGTGTACCACTGTTCTTTCTCCTTGGGAAGCCTGGTTTACCTGTCAAGGGTCCGCAAGTCTTGCCCTCTGGTCTTCATAACGTTCTTGCGCAAGAACTACAGGGCACGGGACTAGAGGCACTACGGTTTGGAGGGATGACACGACTGTTACACCCTATTGCACTGAATCAAAGGGTATGTGGGGATTTATCACCACTTGCATTGTTTCACAAAACCGAGATCCTTAATTCCCCTTACCCTGCTCTAGATGAGAACGGACTTTCAGATTGTACCTGTCCTCCTCCCCCTGTGAAGGAAAGCTCTGTAGGGAAGAGATCGTTCCTTTCTCCCTTCCTGGTCCCCCAATGCCTGATGTGCTCCACTAATATATGCTAAATGGACGAGTGAAGGAGCAACTTCTTCTCACCTAGGGCCCCTGTGAAGACGGAGGGGGCCATGCCATGGGCCACACTGAATCGTTGAAGACAGCACCGGCACACCAGGGAGGTATTTGGGAGGGAGAGGACGTGCCCTCTTCTTGTATGGGATCTCTTCTCTCACCTATAAAACTACTTGCCACCACCTTTCCGTGATCCTATTCTGTTGCCCAAGTTAGCCCTGGAATGGGGCAGCCAGGCTTCCCTGGTTGCTTCCATACCTGTTGTTGTCCACGTAGCGAATCAGCATGGGGTAGAAGGCATACAGGTCTCTGCAGAGGACAGCGAACTCATCCAGGATCAGGAGCTCTGCCTCCTGGGTGTCCCCTTTGCTGTCGGCTTTCAGCTGCTCCTCCTCTTGCACTATCTTGATGGCCTTTTTCTTCAGCTTCTCCAGAGTGGGGAGAAAGTGGCTTCTTAGTAGGTCAGGCCTGGCCTTGCTGATGATGGGCTGGACATACACTGTGTTTGGAAACAGAAGGCTCTCCTTCAGGACACTCATTGTGACAACGGATACAAATGGAAGGAGCAATACTGAAAAGCGAGGCTGGGGAATTCATCCTGTGGGCCAGCACTTAGTTCCCCTCCTTGTTCTTCCTCTTGGCCCGTCCCTCTCTCTCTCAGACGACCACCGTTTGGGAGGCAGTAGGAGAATGTTCTGATCTCCGCTCTGTTCTGGGTTGGGGAAAGCCCCTGCCATCCTTGACCTGCTCACCTACATATGGGGCATTCCACACACCTCTTAGAGCAGTGGTTCTTAACCCATGGGCCCGATTCATAACTGTAGCAAAATGACAGCTATGAAGTAGCAACGCAAATCATTTTATGGTTGGGGGTCGCCACAACAGGAGGAACTGCATGAAAGGGTTGCAGCATTGGGAAGGTTGAGGACCCCTGTCTTAGAGCTTTACAACAACATTATATCGCTTTACACAACTTCCATGTTGCTCTTGGTCCTTGGCAGGTCATGCCCACCTTGCAGAAAGTGGTTGATTCTGAATAATCAAAGCTGTCCTGAGCCAAGAGGAGGCGCTCAACCCAGGCTTCCTGGTTCCTTCCTAGATAAGTTTAATTAAAAAACCCAACAACCCAACTGCAGCTCAGGACACTGGAGAACTGTCAACCTGCTCCCTGGAGGTTCCTCTGGGCCCAGAAGAACTCACCTAGTTCCAACTATAAAGTAATGGAAAGGCACAGACAAGGAATAAGTGGCTCTGGGATTTGGGGCCCTCATAAAGATAAGAAAACCTGCACATCTTACTCAATTTTTAAGGCGGTATATCCCATTTGTTTAATTCAGATCCCAGGGATTTAATTCAAACCAAAGATCAGAATCAGAGTGACTGAAAAACCAACTAACGAGCACACAAACAAAACCCCAGGAACGTGAATGAAGGGAGGGGAAGTCAGGGACCTCTGACTATGCGCACGCAAGCATGCATCTCAGGGGGTCTTTACGTTGTTTGCATTGTGAGGTGTTGTGAGTTAATTGTCACTCACAA